TATACACACATACACACATACACACACGCACACACACACACACATATATATATATATATATATATATATATATATATGTGTGTGTGTGTGTGTTTGTGTGAATACAGATAGAGATATAAATAAATATACTACTATTTACATACATGTATGAACATGTATATATATATATATATATATATATATATTTTGCTGTATCATTATCTAGAATGTAATACATAACTTTCTGCACTATAGCCGATAAGTTTGTTTTGAATCCTGAGGATCGTTCTAGTGTGGAATTTCAGAAAGATCAGCTAAAAGATAAACTATTGTATATGATCGACTGATGGCATATACTCCTAAAACACACAACCTCTCATTTTGCCCCATATATATAGGCCAATGCATCAAACCATTAAGCAACATACTGAGATTAGTGTTGCTCACAGACTCTTCCAAGCTCATGAGGAGTGCCATCATTGGTTTTTGTGGCTTGCTCATGTTCAGAGCAGAAGTCGGCATATTGATCAAATAAAGTTACTTATATAAACTGTGAATCTGTATCTTCACAGAATTGTTGCTGGTATTATAAATTCGCCAGTGCGCTGTGTGCTATGTGTTGACAAGTTGTAGGACTGATCGCAAAGGCTCGTAGTGATAATATGTGATTTGCAACCTCAACCTCACAGGTTTTTAGTACAAAAAACGATCGATAATAGAACACGATGATGATATGTAACTATAATATCCTCAAAGAACTTATTTAGTTAAGTAAAAGACGTATATATGTGGATAACGTAGCCATCTATAGCTACCATTGTCTATTATACTACAGATATGAACAACATAAATACCGAGAACAGACAATCTGAATAATATTCAACAATATTTTTTTTATAAAAAAACAATATATATGTACTCTCCAAACTTTGGGTTTTGGTTTTTTTGTTCGGGTTTTTTTTAGAATCCGATCTGAATATATCACGATATTGTTTCGTAAAAAACTACACAGCGCTCCAGAAATTAGGACTACATATTGTTTTTTCATTACATAATTTCAAATACGATTGTATTTTGAAAATATGTACCAGTCCTATTTCTAGTTTTTTTTTCGTAGTCCTTTTTAGTTTGTATTTTTACAATTCAATAACGATTGGTTCACTCCCCTCTTATCTTGGCTGATCAGTGATGAGATTTTTTTATTAAAACAAGATGATTAAATTAGACTACGAGTTTACACTATACAGTTGTACTGCAGTATGCCACATAGCCGGTATGGTCATATATAAAAATACAAACTAGAGAGAACAATAAAACATGTTTGCATACTTGCGACCATTTGAGTATGTATTTAATAAACATATTTCCTGTAGTGGGATACGTAGTACTTTACTAAATACACAGCCGAGGTAGCTTTTACAACAAAAACGGTTATTTTTGTCAGAACATCTCAAATTAAATAAAAACGCCGACTCCTAAAAGCATGCAACTTACGAATACATCCACGTGCAACTGATTCAAACACACCATTTAAAATTAACATCGGAATCAGCTTTTGTACAATTATAGTCATAGAGCACTCTGATTTGATTGTTTCTACCTAGGCGGTCCTGCACGTTGCAACTTTGACGCGAGTTCAAAAGGAAGGCCGATTGGTTACCTAAGGTGTAGTTATTAAGCTAAGTATTTCAATATTAGAGTACATTCACAACGCATCAATATAGTCATATCGCAAACAATTGTATCACACTCTGTGCATTACTTCATAGTAGCCTTTTTGACAACTGCAATCACTAGCTCTCTGATTTTTCTGAAAATCTATCCTATGTTTATAAACTAGATTAAAGGGTAGTATTCGGATTAAGATCCAGCCTTCCTTATTCCAAGAGATATTTTCAGCGACCATAGCTATCCAAATGCTGCCCGATGTAAGATAAGTTGAGAGAAAGAACGTCAATATTCACTGCCATTGGAGCCGACCTTGTATTTATAAAATCAGAACGAACCCCTACAGCAGCCTAAAAAGTAGCTATGAAAGCAAAATGCTTTTGTGCGCCAGAACGAACCGTTAAAGCTCGAATTATTTGTTTCGTCGTAGAATATAACAGTTTACAATTTGAAGCCATTTTGCAGGCGCCACAAGTTCAATGACAGGCAGCAAAACTACTACAATATTTAGCCTTGTGGATTGACGTGACTTCTGTTGAGATCTCAGAAGATTACAATTTGACGAAAAGCTGGTTCACAATATTCAAGTAAGTTTAAAAGTGCACTTTCGCAGTAAACCTATAAATACATACAAGCACACCAATATTTATATATATATATATATGCACGCATACTGTACGCCAGGCAAACACGTTTAATAGGGGTAATGTTCGAATTCTAGAGGGAATATAATAGATGGCATAAATAAATTAATATTTTTAAAGAAAAAATAGCATGTACGGACTACGTATGTACGTTTAACGTTTCCGGGGTCTGGTCACTCTAGTGGGTGGGCGTGTGGCAGTGGCAGCCTGCAGATGGGGCGCCGTGGCGGTGTGGCTGTCTGTGGCACCCCGCAGGGCCCACGCCCGCTCCTCACACCTGGCCATTCGAAAGAGCAACATATACTCTTTGAGGGCGTGTTGTAATGCCCTTTGCGAATGAAAATCTTGAAATAAAAGCTTTGTGACAAAATCAAATGTAAAATAAAATAAAACACAACCAAGATACCAAATAAGAACTGAGAATAAACTATTTCGAAGAAAAAAAAGCCAAAATCAGAGCCACATAAAATCGAAATTGTACATAGTGATTGGCTAACGACTAAATGGACTCTACAGTATTATTCTTTGATTTTAAATCTACTATATAATTACTCAGTCAGATTCAAAGGTGTATGTCACTGCTCTGAATCTCCAGTTTCCTGGTCTTCAGGAGTAAACTAAGGTTTATTTTAATTTTGACAAAATCTACCACAGTTTTATTTTATTTAGTAGGTTATGGTTTTGAGTTTTGAGTTTTCACTTTTAGTTTTGAAGAGACTAGTTCTATAAATAGAACAACAGTTTTTTTATACACCTGTTTGCCTTTGGGACTTTTGGCTTTAATGACCGGTGATGGTAACCAGGGTCCAAGTGGGAGAAAGCAGGAGAAAAAGAAGCTGTTTTTTATATAAAAACGCGCAGAACAATATTGACACAGAATGCTGCTATCCTCTACTACTAGTAGTATGTAGTGAATATAATATCACCAAGTAATACACCTGGTAGCTACCCTGACTGCGTATTCTAATACCAAGGCCAGCAAGGTGCCTGTATTTCGAAATTTGGCTTATTTACATGTTCTCAGGGTTCGGCAAAATACTTTACTAGTGGACCGAATACGATGAAGAAATGTGCTTTATTCAGTGCTCGCTGGTGGTTACGGGTGGCAGCTATTGTCTTGGTATTTTCACTGGCGTCGATTACGTACAGAGTAGATCTGATGCTATTCACGGGTAACGAGCATGCAGTTGAGCGAGATGCCATGTTTTCTGACCGAAATACATCTAACACTTTGCCACTCGAACATAGCCACACGCACGTTCACAAGGTATATACGACTTCTTATTCTTCTCTGGGTTTGTGAAGTGGTACACTACTATGCTTTCATTGATGTTTATAATTAGTCCACAAACTATATAATCTGTGGGTGTGTGCTCATTCACAACAAAAATTGTAAATATTGGCGTATTGCAGGTATACCTTTACATATATATACTGGCTATGTATACATTATAATGTGAATACGCACGCACACTCGAATATATATATATATATATATATATATACATATATATATATATATATATATGTGTGTGTATGTCTCTGTGTGTATGTATGTATGTGTGTGTGTGTATGACATATATATATATATATATATATATATATATATATATATATATATATATAT